TTAAGACTTTGTTTACAATCTTCTCCTTGCTCAGAGCTGTCTTCTTTCTCTCCTCCATCTGACTTGTTCTAAAGGCCCAGTTCAAGTCTTACCTCCTCTATCGACCCTTCTCTGACTACTCAGTTTCCTTATCTGAAAAATGAGAGGGCTGGACTAAATGGTCTCTGAGGTTTCTTTCAACTTCAGATCCACGATCCTATAATACCAGGAAACAGTTTCCATCCGGAGCTTCTGTAGCACTTGCTGGAAGAACTGTTTATGTTGGCTATTGCTTGTGTAAACCTCATCTTTCCCAACAAGATTGTAAGCTCCTTAAGAAAAGAGATCTTGTACTTATATGAACTGATGCAAAGTACAACGAGCAGAACCAGAGAACATGGCATACGGTCACAGCAACACAGTACGATGATCACCTGTGAATGACTTAGCTTTCCTCAGCATTAAAATGATCCAAGACAATTCCAAAGGACTTATGATGACAAATGCTATCCACCGCCAGAGAAAGGACTGAGAGTGTTTGAATGTAGATCAAAGCATACTTTTTTTACCTTCTTTATTATTCTTAGGTTTTTTTGGTCTTCATTTTCTTTTGCAACATAGCTAATATGGAGATGTTCTGCATGCTTTCACATGGATAATCTACATCAAACTGCTTGTCTTCTCAAGGCGAGGAGGGGAGGGGGAAAGAGAATTTGGAACTCAAAAATTCTTGTTTACATGTAATTGAAAAAAATATAAAGTATAAAAAAGGGGAAAAAAAAGAAAAAGGGATCTTGTCTCTCACATCCTACACCGCAGCCAAATCAACAAGCATTTGTTAAGCTCCTATTATGTGCCAGGCACTGTTCTAAGTGTTGGGGATGTAAAAACAAAAATGAAAACAGACTCTGCCCTTCATGTAGATACTAAATACTTACTGATGGGAAAATCTGCTTGCTCTAGGGGACTCTGGTCTCAAACTGTAAACTCTTCAGGAGTACAGACATGTACACTCAATTGCACCACAGAGAAACAAGCTAGGAGACTAGGCCACATGGTGAGGAAATTTTCTGACTGGAATCCTATCTGAGTTTCACTAAGACTCACGGAAACTAGAGGAGCAGTATCATGCCCCGGTTACAGACAGGGACACTAAGGCAAAAAGAGGAAAAGTGTCACACGCAAGGACCCAAGGCAACTTGGGTGTTGAACTGGCCACAGAAAGCAGGTCTCTGGATTCTCAGCCCAAGACTCTTGTGAAGGGCTTTAATGACAGAGTACAGGTTACCCTAGGGTGAGAGTTCTTAACATCTAGAGTCTATGAACATTTTTAAAATTTCATAACTATATTTCAATTTAATTGGCTTCCTGTGTAATCCTATATATATATTTTAGTTAATTTAAAACAATTTTTCTAAAAAGGGATCTATGGGCTTTACTAGACTTCCTAAAGGAAGCAATGAAACAAAAAAAGTTAAGAACCTATCCTATAGGCAGTATGGAACCACTGACACTTTTGAGCAGGGACAGACATGGTCAAAGAGGGTTAGTAATGTTAGTTGGCAACCGTGGAGAAGACAGAGAAGGGAGAAGCTGGAAGCCTAGTGACAAGACAAACCAGGAGGCTATTACAAGACACAAGAGATGTGAACTAGTATGTGGCCATGTGAGTAAAGACAGGGGTATGGCTGTAAGACAACTTGTATAGGTCAAATAGACAACACTTGGCAACCAACCAGATGCTGGGTGTGAGGGAGAGGTAGGAGTCAAAGATAACTCTGGGGTTCCAAATCTGGATGACTAGGAGAGTGGTATCTTGAAAGAAAAGTCAGGAAGAGGGTTGGGTATAAGGATAAAGAAAATGAGTTCTGATTTGGATATGGTAAATTACAGATGCCTACAGAACATGGAGGCAGTGATATCCAGCAGTAAACAGGGCTAAAGCTCAAGATCCGGACAAAGGATGATTAGGTAGATTTGAAAGTCATCTTCATAGCGATAAATGAACCTAGGGGAGTCTAATGAGAACCCTAAGATCCAGAAAGTAGCCCAGAACAGACCCTTGTGGTACATCAATGAATAGGTGTTGTGGTACAGGGGAAAGTACCCTGGATTTGGAGCTAAAGGGCAAAGATTCAAATCCCTCCTATCGCTTACCACTTGTGTAACTTTGGTTTTATTTTGTTTGTTTGTTTTTTGCTAGGCAATGGCGTTAAGTGACTTGCCCAGGGCCACGCAGTTAGTACGTGTCAAGTGTCTGAGGCCAGATTTGAACTTAGGTCCTCCTGACTCCAGGGCCACTGCACCACCTAGCTACCCTTTCATTTTTTTGTTTATTTGTTTGTTTTTTGCACTTGTGTAACTTTGGGCAAATTATTTGACCTCACTAGGCCTCAGCTTCCTTATGTGTAAAAATGAGGGGTGGACTAGGTGGCCAGATCTAAATCTATGATCCTATGATGATGATCTAGCAAATAAGATATTTCTGCCATCATGAGGTGACCCTTGCAAAGGAGCCATGAAGGAGATACCAGAGATCTCTGTTGGTACCTGGTCCCAGGGCAATCCCTGGGGCCTTCTCCCTAGAGAGGCCAAACTGGAGAAAGTCTTACAAAAACAATGGAAGTTGGAGGGATTACCACTGCTGTCCTTTATTCCAGCTAGGGGTACTGCTACAAAGGGGTATTTTTCAGTTTTTCCCAAAGAGAAAGGAAGAATGATAAAGACAATAGTAATTATGAATCAGAGTTCTATACCACTTTCCTCAAAATACACCTGGAGTGGCAGGTAGGCAGGGAAACTGAGACTCAGAATGGTAAAAGGACTTCCCAGAGTCAAACAACTGGTACATTTCAAAGCTAAGGTTTGAACCTTGGTGCCCTAACTCTAAGTCCAGTACTCTTTCCATTATACCATACTACCATCTAAACTGTCAAGGGTGTATGACTCAAGGAATTCAGCAATTTGCTTCTTGGAGATATGCAAGGTTATCTTTACAATTTTCAAAATAAATTGTAATTAACAACCTGAAAAAACATCAAACTCCCTAAAAAGTACATATAACTCATTATTTGACAAAAACTGCTGAGAAAACTGGAAAATAGTATAGTAGAAACTAGGCATAAACCAACATTTCACACTGTATACCAAGATAAGGTCAAAATGGGTACATATTTAGATATAAAGAGTAATATCATAAGCAAATTAGGAGAGCAAGGGATATTTTACTTGTGAGATCTATGAAAAGGGAAGAATTTATGACCAAACGAGATAAAGAACAACATGAAATGCAAAATGAATAATTTTGATTACATTAAATTAAAAAGTTTTTGGACAAAGCCAATGCAACCAAGATTAGAAGGAAAGCAGAAAGCTGGGAAACAATTTTTATAGCCAGTATTTCTGATAAAGGCCTCATTTCTAAAATATATAGAGAACTGAATCAAATTTATAAGAATACAAGTCATTCCCCGACTGATAAATGGTCAAAGAATATGAATATGTAGTTTTCAGATAAAGAAATTTAAACTATCTATAATCATATAAAAAATGCTCTACATCACTACTGATTAGAGAAATGCAAATTAAAACAACTCTGAGGTACCCCCTCACATCTATCAGATTGGCTAAGCAAAACTATCTATATTCATATGAAAAAATGCGTAAAATCACTATTGATTAAAGAAATGCTGATCAAAACAACTCTAAGGTACCACCTCATGCCTATCAGATTAGCTAATATGACAGAAAAAGGAAAATGATAAATGTTGGAGAAGATGTAGAAAAACTGGAACACTAATGCATGGTGGAGTTGTGAACTGATCCAACCTTTCTGGAGAACAACTGGGACCTATTCCCCAAGGGCTATAAAACTGTACATACCCTTTGATCTAGCAACACCACTACTAGCAATACTCTGTATCCCAGAGATCACAAAAAAGGGAAAAAGACCCACATGTACAAAAATATTTATAGCAGCTCTTTTTGTGGTGGCCAAGAATTGGAAATTGGGGGGATGCCCATCAATTGGGGAATGGCTGAACAAGTTGTGGTATATGAATGTAATGGAATACTATTGTGCCTTAAAAAATGAGCAGCAGGCAGATTTCAGAAAAACCTAGACTTACATGACTTGAGCAGAACCAGGAGAACATTGTACACAGTAACAGCAACACTGCGTGATGATCAACCACAGTTGATAGACTTAGCTCTTCTCAGCAATACAACAATCCAAGATAATTCCAAAAGACTCATGATGGAAAATACTATTCACATCCAGAGAAAGAGCTATGTAGTCTGAATACAGATGGAAGCATACTATTTTCGCTTTTTTTGTTTCTTTCTTTCTTGTGGTTTTTCCCTTTTGTTCTGATTCTTCTTTCATAACATGACTAATGTGAAAATATATTTAACATGATTGTATGTGTATAACCTGTATCAGATTGCCTGTTGTCTTGGGGAGGGAAGGAGAAAAATTTGGAAATCAAAATCTTATAAAAGTGAATGTTGCAAACTATCTTTATATGTAATTGGAGAAAAAGTACTATTAAGTGGGGAGAACAAGTACATATAATGACGCGCACATGGTAGGCATTTAACAGATGTTTAATTGAATTCTCAGTTAAAGACGACAAATCAGGACCTACCAGCTCCTGAGCCAGTTTGGCCCTTGGCGCCCCCATCTTCACAGCCCTGAGGTTTAGATTACGATTTTCCCAAACACTTCAAATGTTTCATAAGCAACAACTGACACCTGAAGATAATGCTTGCGTGTATTTTAAAAGCTCTAGCCCCAGATCTCACTCCCTACCTACTGAAGGCCCAGTGGCCACAGTGTCTAGGTCTGTGACATGCTAGTTCTTCTCCTGATGCCCAGACGGGCACCTTCTGTGTTTGGTACAAGGTTATAGAAATGGACCCAACTGGGTAGGAAACTGCAGTGTTGTAGAGGAATCCTTTGTAGTTTAAGGCAAATTGGAAGGATGAGCCCAAGAAAAGGCCCTCACACACAGCCAACCAACCTGCCAAATCGACCAATGCCATCTGCCAAAAGCCTCATCTTCCTCCTTTCTCGTTTGTTGGCAACAGCGTAGCGAAGGCCAAATAGCAGGGGCACACCCACCACCACGGCGGAAATTGCCTTCTTCCATAGGGGTCTGGGAACTGCAGGGCTGGAGAGAAGCCATAGGGGAGGGATGATTCTCTTTCCCACTGCCAAAAACCCCAACCCTTCACCCTCCCCCTCCCTCATCCATCATCTTCCAGCAATTTCCCTTTCCACATCCACCCCATTTCTTGCCAATAACCACCATTTGAAAAGAAGCTCCCAAAGAAGCTATGGAGTGAATCTGTATGGTTCTATGCGGTTTTTCTCCCTCCATTTTGCCTTTTTTCACCATCCAAAGAACTTAAAGGTTTTGCTGCCACTCACACAACCAAGTTAATTACACACAGACACAGACAGACAGACAGACAGAAAGAGACACAGACACACAGACACACATACACAGTATTAACTGGAATCCTGTCCTATTGCCCCAAAGGCAGTGATGGACTAGAGAAGGGGATAGCATTTAGATAAATATAGATAAATTTAGATAAATGCTATATTTTCCATAGACTGCCCTAACCCCAGGCTGCCCCACAGATAGAGTTTGGGATTAGAGAAGGTCCAGGTGATGGACTACTCTTCCCCTATATATCACTCCTCTCACAGTCACATGCTTCATGGATTTCTTTTCCTCTAAATCCTATATGACACAGTGCTTCAAACATCCAACAGAAAGAAGGCTGGAGGCCCAGTAATTAAAAAGCATGGCTCTCTACTTTGAGCACTCCATGTTTGTAGAGGTAGCAACAATGGAGTGGAGCAGCATTGGTTGTGGAGCTAGGATAGCAGAATTTGAGGCCTTCAGTTCTGAGTCTGCTCCTTTGTAAAATATGACGGGGAATACTCGTGCTATTTGTCCCATAGTGGTGTGTGAGGGAAGAGTCTGGCAAGCTGCCATGTGTTATGTATAAATGGAACCTATTGTTATTATATGTAATCACTTATACTAGGTCATAAGCTCCTCCGAACCAGAGACCAAGTCTCCTGACTGATCATGGCACATGAGGTTTATTTACAAGCTGAATGATTCAGACAGACAAGCATCTGGAGGTAGGCACCAGTAAGTCATATAGTTTGGCATCCCTCACAGGTACCTAGCGCAAGGCCTCAAGGAATGTATTTCCAGATCTGTTGGATAATTCAGAGAAGTCATCCCTAATCAATCATTATGTGTTAATGAATGAGGGATTTTCTGAGCCAGTCAATCTATAAGTACATATGTGGAAGACCTATTGTGTGTTCAAGGTTCTGTGCCAGGTACTGGTGAGGACATAAAAGGATAAGCCAGTCTCTATCCTACCACAGTTAATAATGAGGCCAGGAGAAAAAACTAATGACAAGAAACATGGAGAATAGACTATGGGACAGAGCTAGATCTCAAACACATCATAAGATATGAAGTCCTCTAACATCCTGGCAACCTGGGGAGAGCTCATTTACCTTGCAAGTAATGACCGTGCAGGTCCCGCTGTCAAGTTTTTCCTGAGGAATACAACTGGGGACAGCCAGGGTGGCTGCCTGCTCTGCAGCAACGCTGAATGGAACCGGCAAAGCTGCAACTGGAAAAAGAACAAATGGGGCAAGGTTCAGGTGGAGATGCAACATTTCTTCCCCAGCCTTGGGGCATTACCCCTATTTATATTATAGACCAGGTGGAGTTCCCAGGGCCCTGGCTTCAATGCTTCAGAACTTTGGATCTCACTGAGGACAACAAAGGCCACAAGCCCTTCTCTCCTTAGAAAACAGGGTCTGCTCTCTGCTGGCTCTGCCTGAGCTATCCTGGTCTTCCTCTGGGACTCAGGTGACAGTCGAGCATGGGGGCAGACTTTTGCTGGAAGCCCTCCACATTTGGCACAGCCTTCAAAACACAAGAAGCCGTCGAACAGCATGGCTCTAGTTCTGGTTCCCACAATTACCAGCTATGTGATAGCAGGTAAGGCACATCCCTTCTCCTGAGTCTCAGTTTCTCTCTGCCTCACTGCTGGTAGGAGGAGAGCACAGTGTCAACTGTAAAGCCCACAGAAATAGGAGCTGTTTTTATTACAAAGAGGTGCAAGGGAAGGAATACATTCCTAGAAGGGGGCAGAGGCCCAGAGAGAGCACTGACTAATCAGATCCCCTTCCTCAATGGCCGGCTGAAATCAGTAGTCTGAAGGAACCCAAGACAGTCCTAAGCAAGTACATGCTGGTGAATGCTATGGGAAACAAATATAGCAAGTGGCAGAAAGGGGAGTGAAAGGACACCACAGTTAGACCAGCCAAAGACCTATCTTGGTGGCAGCAGCCACCTCACTTTACCACAGAAAAACAGTTTGTGTTTCCCTTTGAATACTAATAACACAGATCTAACTAGTTCCTCAACTGAGCTAGTTCAGGCAACCAGCAGGGTTGTGTTGGGGGAGGATCGGTCTAGAGTCTGAGAATCTGCCCAGGAGAGCAGTGGGGATGCACGGAGCAGAGATGGGAGAGTGGCAGGCACCCAGGGTGGATGACAGCAGGCAAAAGAGGCACAGGAAATCATTTTAAAAGTGGCAATCTGTACTATGCTTTCAAGTTTACAAAGCACTTTGCATACATTATCATATTTGATCCTTGCAAAAACCCTGTGCCATAGGCAAGGCCATTTAAATTAATATTTTATATATGAAGAAATTGAGGTTCAGAAGAGTGAAGTGACTTGTTCAAGATTATTAAGTAGCCAAACAGGATTCAAACTTCAGTCTCCTGACTCCAAGGTCAGTGTTCTTTCTGCCCTACCAGACACCTCCCCATTTCGGATGATCTCTGACCCCTCTATAATGGTCAGCGCCTACAGGAGATAGAGGGCATGACACCAGTGACCAACAAAGCAGAAAATCCATTCAGAGATGAGCAGTTTGACAGCATAAATAGAAATGTAGCTGTATTCTTATTCATACCCACCTACCCAGTCCCACCCCTAATGTTTGGGTTATTTATTTGAACAAGTTTCTTTTGTATCTATTGTATCTGTGTTAATTCTAGTCCCCAACATCCAGCTGCTTAGCTATTCCATAGCTACCCTAAATGAAATATCACAAAGCGCTTCTTCAACACCAACTCAATCAGTTTAATTCAATTTGATAAACATTTTCCACCACCCTTTCCTTGATGCTCTAGCCTCAAATTTCCAACTGCCTGCTGAATACCTCTACCTTGGTGTCCCACCAGCACCTCAAAATCAGCACATCTAAAATGGAATTCATCATATTTTCTTCCAAGTCTGTCCCTTTGTTCAACTTCCCTGTTCTTGTTGAAGGTATGGCATTAGTTGAGGCATCTTTTATGCCCCCTGATTCACAAGTCCAACAAAGGTTGGTGTCTTGATTCTTGATCATTCCACTATCATTATCACAATCACTTTTCCCCAGTTAAAGTTTAATCAATTTACACCGCCCTTTTCCCAAATATGCTGCTGTCATCTACCAAGAATCAAGTCATTCCCAATGCTGATTTAATGACTTCAGTACTTGGCCACATAGTTCTAACGCCAAATGCATGTCTACCCAAAGGACTGTTTTATGGAGAACTTGCACAAGGTAAATGCTCATGTGGTAATCAGAAGAAGTGGTATAAGGATACTTGAGATATCTCTGAAGAACTTTAGTACTGACTGGGAGACATGGGAAATGCTGGCATCAAAGAAGGTGCAACGCACAACTGTAACATGAGCTGTGCAAACCCAGAGCCACTTCCACTCTAAATGTTCTAATGAACCACTTGTGCCTGATTTGTGGGAGTGCCTTCCAAACTCATATTGGACCGATTAGCCAAACATACCATACCCTGATTGCAACATTGTGATGTCTTCTTTGAAAATGAAGGACAAACAACAACCTGGTTTGCAGTCGTTTTCTTACTCACTCTCTGTCATAATCATCAGAGGTTTTAATATTTATATTGACGATCCTTGATCACACAATTCTTTGACTTTTATAACATCAACAATCTCCTCTTTCATCCCACTTCAGCTGCATAATTAGGCAGAGTCACAATTTAGAACTCACTACTTCATGGAATTATACCACATCCAACATCTGGAATTTTGAAATTCCACCCTAACTACAACTTCCCATCTTTCTACCTCTCCCACTTTCAGTCACACTACTCTCTCCCTTCATCATTACCTCCAATTCCTTGACCCATACCTCTTCTCCCAAGTCTATTTCTTCCACTCTACTGTAATCACAAAATCAAATTTATTCCACTGACTAAAATTTGTTACTTCAGTCTGCTGTTGCTCAACAGGCCTACTCTATTCTTAGTGACTCTTCACTTCATTCCTCAAAGCAAATTCTAAACCTCTATCCTCAGACTCCCAACTCCTACACTTAGAGCAGACGACTTAGCCTCTTGCTTCCGTGAGGACACAAATCTTTACCTGCTCTCTCCAGTAGGAAGTGATCACTCCCCTCTGAACGACAACGGCATTTAGCTTGTGCCTCTCTTTTGGCACTTGCCCCAGTCTGCCCTGTATCAGAGCTAAGCAGAACATGGTATAATGGAGAAAGTGCTGGACTGAGGAGTCAGAAGACAGAGAGCTGACCGAGATGACCTCTGAGGTCTCTTCCAGCTCTTGACCTATGATCCTATGAATATCAATTGAAGTATGTTGGAATCTGCACTCTTCTACTTAATAGCTATGTAATCTTGGCAGCCATTTAACCTGTCTGGGCCTTGGTTTTCTCATCTGTAAAAGGGGGTGGGGGGGAGGACAGTGGTGAGAATTTGTCACATCATCTCTTAGCACTCTCCAAGCCATGACAATTGTACACAACACAGGGGAGGTGGGAGCAAGAATAATGAGGGTGAACTGTGAGTAGATGGACTCTTATTTTCTTTGTCATGAGCCTCAAAAGCAGCTTTTCTAGTTGAAGAGAAAAAAGCTGAGGGCCAGGCACTCTTAAAACACCATATAAATGTTTGCTGTTTTTATCATGAAACGGTCACAGCATTTCTGCTGCCTGAGATTGTTGACTATGTGTTTCAGATCTCTAGGTTTCACATCCCTTGCTAGGCTGTAAATTCAAGAGTCAGAGATCATTTCATCTCCTTTTGTATCCCTATTCCCCCCTCCCCCCAATACCTGGGATGAGGCTCAGAGAAGGCCGCTAATTTTTGATGAAGGCATAACAAAGATATCTTCCTACTGAAGCCCATTGAATAGGAGGTGAGTTGGGAAGAAAGGAGTTATATGGTGGTAGGGAACAGCTCCAGCCCAAGATGTACTCCTTGGACTCCTTCAGGAAGGAGTTTCTCTTCTCAATTGTCTTATCTTTAAAACAGGAGATAATACCATGTTAACTTTCAGAAGGCAGGCCCAGATGATCTTTTTGAGGTCCCTTCCAGCATAGGGCATGTTTTGTGGGCAGGGAGAATTGGCTGTTAAAAGTCAATCAATGGGTATACTCTCTGCCATCTCATTAGACAGGTCATTGGTAAAAAATGTTAAGAGGCTAACAGTCAAAGCAAGCTCCAAAGGGCCTCTCCTGCCATAAGGTGCCTACATGGTGATCCCAGGCAGACAATGTCTGAAAAATAGCAACTCTTTGGCTTGGGTGGGAAAAATTCCCATACCACTAAGAATCTAACAGATTTTAACCCAACAGCTAGAAGCAAGGCTAAACAAAATCAATAATCCAGATGAAGGAGTAAAAATGAAAACATTCTCTGCTGATCAGGCCAATCTATGCACTACACAAGATTTGTGCCTAGAAAGAAGATTGGTAGGCCATGGGTACAGCCGCCATCCCCCATTTCACTCCACCCCTCATCCTCCCCAAAGAGAACGTGAGTCACAGCCGGGCTCTTCAACTTCAGAGGGAAAGAGTCCTTAGACTGTATCACAAAGATGACCATGAGATAGAAAAGAAGTTGTGGGAGGAAAGGTTAAAAGGAACAAGATTATTCAACCAGAAGAGGTAGCAGAAGGAAATAGGCTGGGATCGGTCACTCTTCATAAGTGACAGGCTAAAGCTTAATAGTTCTGCTAATGTAAGGATCTTTATGATTGGGACTTCATTTCCTGGACCACTGGGCTTTCAAGGTATGGCCCCAATGGGACAAGAGAAATGAAGTACAACTGCCCTATGGAGATGCTGTCCCTGATGAACTCTGTCCTGAAAAAATAAGTAGGGTGAGAACTGTGACCCAAGTGATGCTGGGGAGGATGAAAACACTGGGGAAACACTTTGAGAATCAGAAATGGAAAAAGGGAGATAATCACTGTGAAAAGCAGCAACAGTTTTGAGAAGCTGAGCCAAGGAAGAGATACAAAGGAAAAGGAGCAGAAAATTCCTATATGCCTTTGACTTCAAATCCTGGTCCCTGCTCCTGAAGCCAGAACTTAGGCTGACGTTGTCCGTTTTGTGGACCAAGGTCAGCTCCTACCAAAAAACGAGGCAGTACTTGTTTGATCTGGCCTAGAGTATTCTAACGCCTCCCTAGATTAACCAGAAGAGTGACTGCCACCTTCACAGCACCTTGTGTACTGACTCCTGGAGCAAACCTACTCCATTACTAAGTGCTTACAACTTACAAT